TATAATGTGTTGGTATCACATGATGCACATTATTCTGTTGATGATGACTACCGGATGGACCACCAAGATCCAACACACCAAAACTAGGCATATTCCAAATGTCTATTGGTTCATAACTTATAAAATTCATATCTGGCCAGCACCCCCTGTGGAATATATGAGTGTTAATACAAATTCAATACATAAAAATAAACATCGTAACACAAAGTAAAATTGAAGTTTACCACTCGGCTTGTGGATTATGTAAATTTGGGGAGAAGTTATGTCATCGCTCCTCATTCGCTCGTGGAGATAAGTTTAGATCTGACCAAACTCTTTCACCCGGAACCTGTTCGAATAAAACTGCTTCAAAATAACCACCCGATGCTTGAAGGATATCCCTACTTTGCGGAACCTCATTATTGCGAACGTCTTCAGCCTTGACGTACATTTCCAACATTTTTATCACTAGAAGTTTTTGTTGTTCATCCGGAGTTGTCAAAAAATCTGTCAGAGTTTCATCGTCTTCGATGTCAAACTCAACATAACAAGCAACTCCTTGTGGAGTTAGAGAATATGGATATCTTCTAGTTACTTTAATATTTACCGAACGTTTGCTCACACTTATTATTTTACAAGATACTGATAAACAGTAGGTTAGTATTGTGCACAGCCATATACAGTAACATACTTTTGGATGCACTTGGCACTCCAATTTTGCAGAATACTCTGAAGGACAAAAGCTGGGATTAAATGGTATCAGAAGGTATCTCATTACACACTATAACTGCTTGGCTCAGACTTACACATGAACTTGCTACCGTGCCTTGTTCTGTACATAAGGCTAAGTGTTTACACACACTACATAATGCAAGGCTGGTTCACAACTCATCTCATCATCTACTACTCTTTCTGGTATTTGTGTATTGTGTTGTCCTTTTCTGGTGGTATTAGTGTGTTCACACACTCGTTCTGGAGATGATAATGCAGTGTACATGTTATGTTTAATTAGTGAGCAGATGAAGTATCAGCTGACTTGGGCAGAGTCAGTATACTGCCTTGATTTGATCTTGAAGACCTTATGGAGTTCCTCAATCTAGAGCAACAATATTGGTTGCTTCAATTCAGTGGTGTAAATGTCTTGAATTCATGATAGCCTTGTCCATTTCCAATGGAATGCATACCCTGGCGCCTGGTGAGAGTTTGATAGGTGCTACTTGGTATTTGCCCCTGGCTATTGGATTCACATACACTAACTGGAGAATGAAGCATTTAACTTATCAGCTTGTAATAGATAGTTCCTTAGATTGTAGTTATTTCATCTTCCTAATAGCTAGTGATTTTGTGCAACTGTTGCTTAATGTTGGACATCTTGTAAGCTTTGGACCCAGTTTTGGAATTTATTAATATATTAGCCTCTAGGCAGCCTAAAATTCCTAAATTTAAAATATTTTTCCTGCAAAAAATAATTTCCTAGGGTAACCCGTAGGTAAATTTGGCTCCATTATGCGCCAAAATACTACTTGAAAAATTACCTGGGGAAACTAATCGGCAAGTACATTTCCGTAAGTAAATTTGCAGTTAAACAGATAAAGAAAATGGAAAAAAAAAATCCTATGTTAATCTGTAGAAAAATCTCCAGGTAACTCTACATACGTATTTAGTTGAGGATATTTTTTTGGGGATTTACCTGGGGATTTGCTTATTTGGGGAATTACCTGGAGATATTGTTGCTGCGAATTTCAGCTGGGAATATTTTCTTGGAAATTTACTTGGGAATTCTTTTAGCTGTGAAATTACCTGGGAATGTTGTTGTTGTAGATTTAGTTAGGGATATTTTCTTGGGAATTTACCTAGGAATTTTCTTACCTGGAAAATTACCTAGAGATTATGTTGATGTCAATTTAGTTAGAATTTTTTTGGTGCGGATTTACTTATTTGGGAAACTTATATGGAGTTTTTATTATTGTAATTTTTTCCAGAAATTATTCTTGATAACATAGCTTGGGATTTACCTAAAAAATTTATTTCCTAAGAAATTAACTAAAGATTATTTGTGTGATTTTAGGCGGGAATTGTTTTTTGGGAATTTACTTGAGTATTTGATAATACGATTTTTATTGGGGGTTTGTTCTTAGGATTTAGATAGAAATTATATTGTTGTTGTCTTAGTTGGATATATAATACTTGAGATTTTATCTGAAAATTTTATAGCAACATATTTAAGTTTGAAATTTTAAAAAAATATCCATATAAATTAATTTTATCTATTATATTTTATTGGTAAATATAAAAATATTGAACCTATATAAAATTTAATGATGTATATATGCGTGGATTGAACATTATAAGTCATTAAGCATAACATAGTCGGTTATTATTATTTTTTAACAATTTCACTAACAAATTAATTATCACACGACTAGTTATTTTAGGTATTAAAATTTAATATGGATGATATAAAGGACATAATAGAGCTAAGATACAACTACATTTGACATATTTCGGCTAATATCATCCAAAAATATATTGAATATAACTAAATGATTGAAAAATATTTAACTTTAATTTTTAAGCAGAGAAAAATTATGTTACAGTATAAAAATGAACTACTTTTTATTAACTTTCTATCTTATGTATGTTATTTTTCACATTTATTTAATAAGATAAAATTTAATTATAGTACGGATAAAATAATATAGTTTGAGATTGTCAATATTGAAACTTAATATCGAGTGATCTTATTCAACTTTATAACATCTTCACTTTGATTAAATCATACCATTATTAAATAACTTAATCTTGCATACTTTATTAGGATTAGCGAAACAATTTTTACTAATTATCACGTACAATGTGTTTAACTCATGTTAACTAATTTCTTTATAAAAAAGAAATTATTATGTTATTCAAAAAATCTAAATGAAATTTTGAAAAAAATAATTAAGAATATATTAAAATTAAAAGTAATATCAATGTAATTTCCTATTACTTGGAAAAGAGTGTTTCATTTGACTTATGAACCCTTAATTAATGTATCCTTTTACATAATAATAATAATAATAATAATAATAATAATAATAATAACAACAACAACAATAACAATAATAACAACAACAATAATAACAATAACAACAATAACAACAATAATAACAATAATAATAACAAGAAGAATAACAACAACAACAACAACAACAACAACAACAACAACAATAATAATAATAATAATTATAATAATAATAATAATAATAATAATAATAGTAATAATAATAATAATAATAATAATAATAATAATAATAATAATAATAATAATAATAATAATAATAATAATAATAATAATAATAATAATAATAATAATAATAATAATAATAAGAGTTGGAGTGGGCTAAAGTTCATGCCTATGGTGTAAGTGCACAAGCTGCTATATATATACATGATAATATACTAGCTGGATGTGTGTATTATCTGTGGCAAGGGAGGAATCAAAGGATTTTTGAGAACAAGAAAAGGTTAGAGGAGACTCTTGATCAAGATGGTGATTCAGGACATTGGTAGGGGGAGCTGGAAGCATGTCTAACTAAGCAGATGCACAGTTTCGTATATATGGTTTTTCATAAGCGGTTTTACATTTTAAAAAGTGAACAAATAAACAAAAAAAAGAATATAATAAATAAAACGCTACTCAACATTAATACTACTTTTCTCGACGAATTTTTATTTTTTAAATTTTTTCGAAATAATCCCATTATAATAATACTAAACCCACAACCTCTATTAGATAACTGAGGGCCTGACCAGGTGAGCTCTATAGCCCTTCATGACGGGTAGCGTCACTTTATTAAATTTGTTTTATTTTGTTTCTTTCTTTTAATAATATATACATATTTAGTAAAAGATTTCGACGAACAGATGTCACATATGGTAAATCCGTCCCTGCAGATACAGAAGCTGAATTTCTGCCCCCTAGTTAAAGAGAGGTGATAAGAGGAGTGACCTATTGTCTAGATAATTATAATGTTTTGTTTTACTAAAGCTGGGGTTATATGTTCAACTTCAGGGGTTTTTGCTTTTACGTGTATATATTTTTTTCCTGGTGAATAAACTTTTAGTTACCCAAAATTAATAATAATTGAGTTAAAAGAATTGTTACAAAGAGGTCAGTGTGTGATGAAACAAGAGAGGTCTCTGAAATTATTATTTTTTTGCATTGCTGAGAACATTGACAATAAGAAAAAAGCATTAACAATCAACATATATTCAAATTGATTAAAAAAAAACATGTTCAAATTGGTGGGTTAGAATAAGTTAGGACCCATTAACTATTTAATTAGTTTAAGTTTAGGTAGACTCTATTATTTGATTGTAGAAATATAAGATAACATTAAAGATCAGAGAAACTACCAACCCCTGTAACATTAAAAATTTTTGAAACAATGTTCTTTAGAAGATCCAAAAGGCAAAAGATAAAAACAAAGAGAAATAATTAAGATGACGGAAACCAAAAAATGAGCAAAAAATAAAGAAAGGGGAGAAGGAAGAAAAACTCACGAGGAAGCGAGAAAGACAAAGGAGAAGGAAAAATGAAAATCTTAGTTTCAGATGGAGTGCTGAAGGCAAAAGGGTTAGAAAAAAGTAAATCACGTGAATAGATGGAAGGCCATAGCACCTCAATTAAGTAATCAATAATGATTGAATTACATCTAAACAAATGGCATAAGCCACGTGGTCTTTGCAAGTGAATAGCTGAAAGTCCATAGCACCTCAAAAAAGACTAAGGTAACGTGGGTATCACTACATGCAGCAATTAAGTAATAAGGACCGAATCACACAGTATCCCTAAACAAATATAAGTGATGAGGTACGAATCCCTTAGTATCACTAAACAAATGCATAATCCACGTGGGCGTTTGGAATTGAAGTCATAAGCACCTCTAAAATATATCAAATTACACAGTTATCCCTACAAAAATGCATAATACCAAAACTACCCCTTCACGGCCATAATACTTCACTTATATAGTTATGGCTTCTGCTTCCTTGGCCAACAATCAGTTCATCTGTAACTTCAAATTCCAGTCCCATTTTCACTTGATCGTACTTCGAAGCGCCATCTTTGCTCCTTTAAGGTAATTGTATTGTTTAACAAATTTACATGCTCCAAATGAATAGAAATTGTTACTAATTCCTAAGATCATCCTGAAACAAAATTTTCTCTATACGTAGCCTCTACTTACTATATATTCGTTCATGCTTTAATGTATAATGCATAACAAGATTTTTTCTTAAATATCCAGATCGATCATATGGCAACTGGTATCGCTTCAGGATGCGGACAGTTACATTTGAGGAAGCCTGTCTACTTGAGGAATAGCTATGGAAATAAAGCTCACTCTCATTCCAATGTGATTCTCAACGGCACGCAAAACCAGATCGCTTGGTACGTTTTAGGGGTAAACCAGTAATATATTTTTTCATGACGTGACACAATTCTAGAAGTAGTCATTTCCTGATTCCTTAGAAAAAGGGAAGGTTATTTCGTCCCAATTTATATATCACTTTAGTTAGTCTCAAAAGAACGACACATTTTTATAATTAGTAATAATTTAATTTTTAGATATCTCTTTTACGCTTAGTGAAATGATTTATACCTAAACAAATATCCATGGCTCAGTTTACACCATAAATTTCAAAAATATTCTTACACATTGTGCTCAGTCAAGCATCATCACATAAATTGAGACAGAAAGGAGTACTCCCTTTGTTCCAGTTTATGTGAACCTATTTCCTTTTTGGTCCGTTCCAAAAAGAATGACCCATTTCTATATTTAATAACAATTTTGCTTAAACTTACAATTCTACCCTTAATAAGAAGCTTTTATAATCACACAAATACTCTGGGCCCTTTTTTGACTTGTTTAGGACCACAAATTCCAAAAGTCTTATTTTTTCTTAAATCTCATCACATAATAAATTGAGACAGAAAGGAGTACTATGTTAATTTTCTGATGGTGATATGCTTTTCCAGGTCTAGTTGGGTTTCAAATGTCTTGCGAGTTAATAGAAGTAGCTATCCACAATGTCAAGTGATCAAAACAAACTGGAAGTCTCGCCGAGGAACAATCAAATCTTGCCAGCAGAGAGATGGATCAGTTACTAGGTACTTCGATTTCATTGTGATTGGTAGTGGAATTGCTGGCCTTCGATATGCACTTGAGGTTGCCAAACATGGAACTGTGGCTGTGATAACCAAGGATGAGCCACATGAGAGTAGCACTAACTATGCTCAAGGTGGTGTAAGTGCTGTGCTCTGCCCTTTGGATTCAGTGGAGAACCACATACAAGATACAATTGTTGCAGGTGCTTACCTCTGTGATAAGGAGACTGTTAAAGTAAGTTCACACAGAATATATTCAGTTTAATTTGGAGACTATTTCCCCCTTTTGCTTTTACTATAAGTGTATCTCTCCTTTAATTTCTCCAGGTAGTGTGTACTGAAGGACCTGAGAGAATTAGAGAACTGATCGCTATAGGTGCATCATTCGATCATGGGGAGGACGGAAATCTGGATCTAGCCAGGGAAGGAGGCCACTCCCATCATCGAATTGTCCATGCTGCTGATATGACTGGCAGAGAGATAGAAAGAGCCCTATTAGAGGCAGTTTTTAAGAATCCTAATGTACATGTGTTTCAACACCATTTTGCTATAGATTTGTTGACCACTCAGGTTAGTTTATTAGTGTGAAAAATTTGCTAAAGCTGTGTAAAGGTGCCAATTGAACTGTTCAGTAAGGAATTAATGTTGTAATTTGTATGACAAATGCAGGATGGTTCTGACATAGTATGTCATGGCGTTGATACTATACACACGGAAACGAAGGAGGTAATTAGTAACAGTTGCTTTCACTCATGTTGACCATTTGAACATTTCTTCAAATTGACATAAATTGATTTCGCTTCTGCGCTCGCTCTTGTGTTTTTTAGGTTATAAGATTCATTTCAAAAGTGACTTTGCTGGCATCAGGTGGAGTTGGACATATCTATCCAAGTACTACTAATCCAACGGTATGGTTTCAATATCTTTTCCTCCAAAATAGTTGTATATGATTAATGTCACGCTCCAAAAATAAAAGAGCTGGACCATTTGTGCCAACAGAAAAGTTTAACCCTGTTGAATGTGTGCTTGTTGAAATTTCTAATTTCATATTGACATTATGATCATAGGTTGCAACTGGTGATGGAATGGCTATGGCTCATCGAGCTCAAGCTGTAATATCCAACATGGAGTAAGTGATCCTCAGTTGCATTATATTTATTGTACAATATCTCTGCCTCTGCTTTAATATCTGCTGATCTAGATTTCATCCACTTATTTTTCCTTCTTGATTTCTGCATCTTGTTCAGCATTTCGTTCAGAATTTGCATTTCGACTAAAAACACGAGGGTGTGTTCAAAAATTTGCATTATTAATAACAATTCTCTTCCTCTTGTTGCCAGGTTTGTGCAATTCCACCCAACTGCCTTGGCTGATGAAGGCCTACCCAACATACCAAGTGCCAGAGAGAATGCTTTTTTGATAACTGAAGCTGTCAGAGGTGATGGAGGCATCCTTTACAACTTAGATATGGAAAGATTTATGCCAACGTATGATGAAAGAGCAGAACTTGCCCCGAGAGATGTGGTAGCAAGAAGTATAGATGACCAGCTCAAAAAGCGTGGCGAAAAGTATGTTCTTCTTGATATCAGTCACAAGCCCAGAGAGAAGGTTCTGTCTCATTTTCCTAATATAGCTGCTGAGTGTCTCCGCCATGGGTTAGACATAACACAGCAGCCGATTCCGGTGGTTCCTGCTGCTCACTACATGTGTGGTGGAGTCCGTGCTGGACTCGAGGGTGAGACTAATGTGCAAGGTCTTTATGTGGCAGGTGAAGTTGCATGTACTGGTTTACATGGTGCAAACCGACTTGCTAGCAACTCATTGCTTGAAGCACTAGTGTTTGCACGAAGAGCAGTACAGCCTTCAATTGATCATGTGAATGTGTCTAGAATTGAGCACGGTGCATCAAGTTGGTGGCCGCGACCTATCGCCCCCATGGTACTAGGAGAGACAATTCTTAACAAAGTCATCTGTAGGACAAGGGAAGTGAGGAAAGAACTACAGTCAATCATGTGGGAATATGTTGGAATTGTTAGGTCTACCTCAAGACTAACTGCTGCTGAGAAGAGAATCAGAGAGTTGGAGTTGGAATGGGAAACATACCTATTTCAGCATGGCTGGGAACCAACAATGGTTGGAGTAGAGGCTTGTGAGATGAGGAATCTCTTCTGTTGTGCCAACCTGGTAGTTAGCAGTGCTCTTTCTCGACAAGAGAGTCGTGGGCTTCACTACACCACTGATTTTCCTCATGTTGAGGAAAGCGAGAGGTTGCCAACGGTCATTTTTCCTTCTCAGCGAAATAGCACATGGAGCACACGGCAATTACACGCACAGCCGATAAGTTAGATATCTCTTACCTATTTGCCATTGTTCCTGCCAAAACATCTCCAGTGCAGGACATGATTTGTCGATTTTACCAGGTTGCAGGGGTGTATCTATCGGAAGGGGTATGGGTTCACATGATCACATACTCTTCTCCCTAGACTATGTATAATAATGTATATTTCTTCAATGTTATTTAAATATGTAAGTGTGTCAGCCAAGCTCAAAGAGTTCTATCGTTCAATAATTATTGGGTGCATCTTTAAATCCCATGTCTATTTTGTCGTTTTTCCCTTTATCTTTTCCTATAATTGAGCCGAAGGTTCAAATCTCACATTTCTTTTGTTGCTTTTTCCTTTCTTTCCTACAAATGGGTCTACCCATGAGGATGGGCATGTCACAAACCCACAAGTCAATGACACACAATAGATTCATTAATGATTCGGAGAAGCTCTAATCCAGCATTACAACTTGCATCTTGTGTTGCAGTTCTTTAGGAGATACATAAGCCTATAAGTAATTGAATGAAAAGGAATCAACAGTTTTTTGAACAAGAACTAAACACCTATTGGTGCTTGAGATTCAAGTTTCAACAACTCTCCACAATTCAGCTCCTTCTATTTGAGTACAAAATCTAGAAATTATAGATGTCTTGGGCATTAAATCTATGATAAAGGCTAATGCGTACCTCAATCTTTTAGCTCCTCCATTACTTACTTAAAAGAGTTTCCCCCTACTGTACAAAGTAAATGAGGGGAATAAAGAAATCCATAACAGAAATTTCCTATTTTTGGTTTAGTAATTTCTGAATGAAGGTTTTGACAATTTATTAAAAGCATATCACAGGTCACGAGCTTTAATTAGTTGTTAAGTAAGCAACTCGTTAAAAATGCAAGACCTGATGCTTTGGCCAACGATATCACTCGAGAGACTTGTTTATCAAAATATGCATCAGATTTTCCGAGTGCAAAAATAATTCTTTTCCCCCAAAACAAACGAAAATGAGGAAGCAAGACGAATAAGTAATAGAGCAACTTTATTGGCACCTTTACATCTCAGGCAATGTGTATCCATTTTAATGCATTGCTTCTGTCTAAAAAGAGAAAACATTACACACCTTGATAAAGGAAACAAGCTCGACCTCACAGCTTAGTTGGACAACAGCGAAATCTTGCTTCGACTCTGATGAAACAAAAGGCATATTCCAGGTGCAATTGTTGTAGTGCAATTCACCCTTCTTCATTGTCTGGGATTCTTCCTCTAGGCAGTCTGTAACTTGCTCTGTTCATGGCAAATCACAAGTGCGTGATATTTTGGAGACCCGAGGAACCCTGAACTCGAAATTGGGAAAATTAGAGAAAAGGCATCGAAAATTAACCAAAAATCAGAACAAAATACCTCAAATGATGAACCTCCATGAATTTTGCTCTAAATCATGTAGGTTTTGATCAAATTTACCTACAAGCTTGCCTTCTTTGGAGAGAGAGAACGGTAAAGTTAGGCCTCATTTAGTTGCACTTAATGGAGGTGTTATTATTAATCATTCGAATCTCAGACATTAAATGCATTTATTTTTAAAGTCTAAATCTTAATTATTCAAATCTTAATCATTAAGTGTGTTTATTTTTACTTTACAACCACTTAATGTGTCTGAATAGGTCTGTATGAGACTTAATTTCATTAAGATGCTGTCATATATTCATTATTAACTTCCGCCACCGCCTATCATTATCAACTACCACCATGCCGCCACCACCACCACCTCCACCATCACCACGCCACCATCATCCTCAATCATAGCCGCACCATTATTGACCATCACCACCCGCTATCCCCACCACTCCGACCACCATCATTCTTCCCCACAATCAACACTCATCCACCTCAACTACCACAACTGACCACCCCATCACCATCAACAACCACAACCGACACTGCCATCATTATAACCTACCACCACCAACCCACCACCTTCCTCAGTCACAACTATTATCACCCCCCACCATTATTAACTATCATCAACCACCACCTCCATCCTCGATCATAATCGCACCACTACCAATCACTACTAGCTACTAGCATGAACCACCATCATCAACCAAAACTACCACCAACCACTACTTCTAGTCGGCATTCACCCATTAGCCATTACCACCAACAACTATCATATTTTTAAATACTATATATTTTACTGATAGAATATTAGATTAGTTATTTCATTTGAATTTTAAGTTTATTAATTTTCAAATAAAGATAAATTTTATACATTTAGATGTTAAAAATCAAACAGTCTTAATTATTTCTTTTCAGATCTTAATACACATCTTGATTCTATCAGATATGTATTCAGATTCAGATGTCTTAATCTTAATACACATCTTGATATTCAGATGTGTATTCAGATTCAGACATCTTAATCTTAAAAAAAACAAATGAGGCCTTAAGTTCATTCTAGAAGAAAATGAAGAAAATGGTCCCTAATCTATTGGGATTTGATCATTTAGGTCCTTAATGTATCCACTTGACGTATACAGTCCTTAACCTATTTAAAGGTGACTCTTTTGGTTTGAAACCCTATAACTAACGATTTAGCTCAAAAAAGACGATAGAGTTATGAGTTAATATCCTAAAACCCCTTAAACTATGTCAATTTCCTGTTTTAACTATTTGGGATAGGGGTGTGCAATCGATTTATCAATTCGATTTTGAGTCTTATCGATTATCGATTTGTACATATGCTTATCGTTATCATTTCAATAAGGTTTCGATTTTTTCGATTTCGATTTATCGATTTTTGGGGCTTATCGATTCGTTTATCGATTACACCAATAAGAAAATTTGCGGGATTCCACAGAAAGTATATCGCTATAAACACGCCTAACTAATATGGACAAAAAGAAGCTAAAATAAGACGAACACCGTTTATAACATAAAAATTGTGTCAACAAGCACATGCAACGAAACTAAAGTAAGGGATCAAATGTATGCCACCAACACTCCAACGGTATATAAAAAAAAAAGTTGGTCTTGTTTGTATTGTTATCTCTCTCTAGGCCTATGTATAAGAAAAGTTTGTGGTGTAAGGGAAAGAAAATTAAAAAAAGTTGAGGAAGCCATGAGAGTTGTACGTGAAAAGTCCGTGAAAGAAGATCAAAAGGAGAATGAGAAAATAGAACGATGGAGAAGAGAGAACTTATAGTTAGAGATGAAGAAGGAGATGGAGGAAGGCATATGTAGAGTTGTATCAGTTTGAGACGGTCGATTCGGAAGAAAATAGATTGGTTCTTTTTTGGCTATCGATTGGAACCTTGAAAGCTTGACTAACTCGGTACAATTCTAACAAAAACCGATAACAAAAAAAAGTTGGTCTTATCGGTTTATCGATAAGCTGATAACCGAAGAGGACAAAATCGAAATCGAAATCGATAACTTGATAAGGAAAATTTTGAAATCGAAATCGAAATCGAAAAATCGATATCGATAAACCGATAACAAATAATCGATTCGATTTATCGATAAACCGATTCGAATACACACTCCTAATTTGGAATCCCCAAAATTCCTTTAAATTATATTCTCCTTCAAAACCATCTCGTTGGATTATTTGAGGTGCATTTAGTACACACTCTTAATTAATCAATGCTGTGTGGCATGACACGTTAACTCAGCGTAATGTAAAAACTTGTTTAATTATTTTTTCTCTTTCCTTTTATTTTTATTTCTTTTTTCTTTTCTTCTTCTCCAACCTCACGTTTTCCAACAAAGAACATAAGTTTACAAACAATTTTTCCGGTAACTTTTTGTGCTTTTCAATTTTTTCTCCCTCTCTTGCACATCTTCTCTCTCTCATACACAAATAAATCTTTCAAGAAAAAGTAAATTTTTAAGAATAAATCAAGATTCGTAGAAACTCTTTTTTTGGATGAAATGTTATACATGACCAGAAAATTACATTCAAATAAGTAAAAAGCCAATGAATATATAGAAAGAACAAAAGACAACTACATTAAGTTTATTTTTATCACAACAGTTATAAGGATTGTATCAAACCCAACTAGCAAATTACAAGGGGGAAGCATTAGAATTACAATTAAAGAAAGAAAGTAAACCCAAATCCTCATTAAAGACCAATAAGAAACAATCACAGAGATTTCATCTTAGGGACATTGTGAAGGAGCATGACCAAAATAACCCAACCAACCTAAGAAATTTCATCTTACGGATGGTAAAGAATGAAAGAAGAGTAAAACAAGAAAGGGGCTAAATAACTTAAGAAGAAACAGGACATGAGAAAAAATTTCAGAGGAACTCAGCTGAAGAAATAAAAATGGAAGGTAAAAAAATAAAAAGAAAGGTGAAAAATAAGGAAGAAAGCCAACAATATAAAAAGAACAAGGAAAAAATAAAAAAAAATATAAATTTTGTAAAAGGATCAAACTAATTAGGCATTACACTTGGTCAGGTGATTTTGATGGCTTTTTTCAGAGTCATGCGTCCCTTTGCGGGTTATTTCACACATTATGCCACATAATCAACAAGAAGATTTTAATATAAAAAAGAATATAGTTCAGGAGTTTTTGCGATACCAAATAGTTAAAGTAGTAAAGTGGTAAAAGTTGAATAGTTTAAAGGGGTTTTAGGGTATTAACTCTACAATTATCATTAATTTTGTCCAAGAAAGACATTGTTAATTACAATGAAACTCGAATAATTCTTTTTTATAGAGAAAGTGAAACCTTGAATACCAAAGTTGTCTAGTGAATTAGTAATTTGAAGAAAGTTAATGCTCCAATTAAGAATAGCCAGTTCAAGATCAAAAAACAAACACAGAAGCAAGTGACAGTACGGAAAATAGCGACAGGGACAAGAACATCTTAAGGAAGTTCATGCTCCAACTAAGAAGCAAATGGAGCAGGTTATTATAATACAAGCAAATGTGCAGCCACAAAACACTAAGCACAAGGATGATGACTAGAAGGAGGTTAGAGGTAAATTAGTTAGTAAAAGCTAGCAAGTTACATTTGATATCACCAATGCTCTTATTACAACAAATGTATTCAATTTATTTGAAAAAGGTAGAGAAGAGACCAACTGTCAGATTTGCAAGAATAATAGGGGCAATGTAGTAGGGGGGAGGAAGTAGTTAAATAGATAAGCATAAGGAGTTAAAGGTGTTTCTTAGTGAGAATAATGTTAGTATGCTGGCGGTTGTAAAACATAGAGTCAGAGAACATCATCCTGCTAAAATAAAAAAGAAGGTTGCTAGTAACTAGGGGTGGGTTACAAATTATAATGGTGGTAACAGTGGGAGAATTTGAATCATATGGAATCCTACTGTTGTGGATTTTATCTCAACTATTGTGCAGAATATGTTCATTTATGGTATAATTAAAGTGCATAATCTAAACATGGAGTTTAATTTTACTAGAATTTAGGAACTACATACTACTCTGTAACGATCCGGACGGTCATTTTAAGTATTTGATCCCTGTTTTCCCTATTTGATACTTTACATATGTGTATTTTTTATTATGAGACTTGCCGGGGTGGTTAGTTTGGTTTCGGGGAAGTTTTGATTTGAGTTGGGACACTTAGTTCCTTGGTTAAAGGCTTAAGTTGTAAGAGTTGAACGGGTTTGACTTTTATGTAGACGACTCCAGAATAGTGTTTTGATGGTTTCAATAGCTTCGTATGGTAATTTTATACTTACACGTATATCCGGATTTGGATTTGGAGGTTCCTTGATCATTTTGCCTTGAATTGGCAAAAGTTGGAAGGTTGAAGGTTTAAAAAATTGATACGTTTGATCGAGAGTTGACCTTGTTGATATCGTGTTCGAATTGTGATTTTGGGAGTTGGAATAAGTCCGTTGTATCGTTTGGAACTTGCATGCAAACATTGAGGTAATTCCCAGTTGTTTAGGCTTGTTCGACGTAAGTTTTGAATTTGGAAAATTGGATTAGCTACTTAGGCTTGAATTGAGGTGTGATTCGTGGTTTTGATGTTATTTTGTGTGATTGAAGCATCGATTAAGTTTGTGTTATGTTTTGGGATTGATTGATGTTATTTGACGGGGTCCCGAGGCCCCGGGTGTATTTCGAATTGATTTTGGATAATATTTGAACTATGTTGTATTGCTGCAGATTTCTAGGCTTTTGGTGTTTTCGCATATGCGGAGGTTTGACCGCAGATGCTGCCTTTGTTGCGCAGGTGCAAGGGGAAAGTCCACAGATGCGTATGGTTTCCGCAGAAGCGGAACCGTAGGCGCGCTTGTAGAGCCGCAAAAGAGGGAGGTCGGGAGCTTAGTGGGGATCGCAGATGCAGTCCTTTTTTCGTAGAAGCGGTTAGGTGTCCGCATATGCGGATTAACTGGGCAGAATATTAATTTGAAGGTTTTGGCTATTTCTCATTTTTGGAGTTGTGAAGCTCGACTGTAGGCAATTTTTGGAGGGCTTTTCATCACGATTGAAGGGTAAGTAATCCTTACTTTATTTGGTGTTAG